AGATGCCTATCTTCGAAAACTCTGGAGCTCATTCGCCAACGTGGCTTGGCAGAAGCCTTAGGCAACCGCAAGCGAATGTCCAAGCATGCAAAGCAGTGCAGAGAAGCGATAAAGGAAGACCTCAAATAGAGAAGAGCAGCAGTGCTGGCAGATGCGGCTGAAAAGCACTGGGAAAAGCATTCGCAATGCCGCCTGTCCTTCACCAACTACAAGACCAAGATGACTGCCCTCCAACATCCTGATGGATCTATCGCATCTTCCAGAAGGGCAATGGAGAAGATTATTTATGATTTCTACTCGGATCTCTTTGATAGCCATGTCCACCTGCCCACATACCAAATTCTGCAGGACGGATATGTCATTCCCAATGTTCTCCCTTCCAAAATCCAACATGCCATTGGTAAAGAAGCAAACAGCATCTGACCCAGACAAGATCAGACCCGAACACCTGAAGAACCTGCCGTCAGTACTCATCAATACACTGGCTCAGCTCTTCACACGCTACCTGTCTGAATGCAAGGTTCCATCCCAATGGAAAACCAGCAGGACTGTACTACTGTACAAGAAGGGAGACATCCACGACATTGGCAACTATCGCCTGATCTGCCTGTTGTCTGTCATCTACAAGCTGTTCACTCAAGTTATCCTGAATAGGATTGACAGAACACTAGATAAAGGACAGCCATGGAGCAAGCTGGGTTCCGGAAAGGATTAAGCACAATTGACCATAGCCACATGATAACCAAGTTCATTGAGGTTTCTCAGGAGTTCAAGATGCCACTCTGTCTAACGTTCATTGATTTAAAGAAGGCCTTTGATTCTGTTAGACTGAAGTGGTCATAGAAGCCCTAGCCAAACAGGGTGTTCAAACTCAGTACATCAGGATCCTCCGTGAGTTCTATTGAGGACTCACTACGAGAATCTCACCATTCTACAGGTGGGTGATCATTGACCTCAAGAAAGGGGTTTAGCACGGTGATACCATTTCACCGGAACTCTTCAGTGCCACCCTCAAAAACGTCATGCAATGACTGGAATGGGAAGGAATGGGAGTGAAGATAGATGGTTGGTTGGTAACTATACCACTTCCGTTTTGCTGATGACATCATTCTAATAACACCAAACATAAGCCAAGAGGCAAAAATGCTGGCTGACTTTGACTGTGAGTGTGGAAAGGTCAGACTACAGCTGAATCTCAAGAAGACAATGTTTATGAGAAACAGTCTCGTTCCTCATGTTCCATTCGCTCTCAACGGGACGAACATCTACAAATGCACCAGTTATGTATACCTAGGTCGAGAAGTCAACATGACAAATGACCTGGCACCTGAGTTTCACTGGAGGAAGAAAGCAGCTTGGAATGCCTTCAAGAACGTCGAAGAAATAGCTAAGAGAACGAAGAACCTCTGGCTCTGGGCACATCTCTTCGATTCCACTGTTCTTCCTGCATTAACATATGCCTCAGAGACCTGGCCCCTATGAAAACAGGATGAGAACACTATTCGGGTCTCCCAAAGAGGAATGGAAAGAGCTATGCTTGGAGTATCATGCTTCACTCAAATGAGAGAAGGAATCCAGAGTTCCGACCTCTGTCGATGATCAAAAATCAGGGACACTGTCTCATTTGCCAAGGCGTCGAAAATCAGATGGACTGGACACGTAATGAGATTTGAAGATGACCGCTGGATTAGAGCCATTATTGACCGGATTCCACAGGATGTCAAAAGATCGCGTGGCCGCCCACCTAATGGTCAGACTTCTTCGTCAAGACCCTGAACGATCTGTTTGAGACTGTCATATTCTTAGAACAAGCAGATACCATTAGGCTACACTAGCATGTGACAGGGATGAATGGAGACGTTACTGGCGCCCAGTCAAGCAAATCGATGAGTAATTGGATGTCAAGTGATCAAGTGATATATGTATATATATATACATATACATATATATATACATATACATATGTGTGTGTAAAAAATATTTCCCTTTAAGATTGGTTGCCTCCTACTTTGAACCCCATCAAATGTAGTACGGTACTCTTGGAGTATGGGCAGGGTGTGTGATATGAAGTGTTGCGGCCACACGGTACAGGAATAGGTTCACTTGTGGGTGAGGCTCAGCCAGAGCATGTGGAGAGTGACTGTGAGCATGATGGTGGTTGAGCATGGTGGCAGTTGAGTTCTGGAGGTTTTCGGCTGCTGGGGCTGGGTCCCTTGGGGTGGGGAGGGGTCTCACCGACTTCCCTCCAGAGTGCCCCAATTAAACAGCCTGGCGCAGGGTCCAGAGGCATGGTTATGGCAAGTGTCATGCTATGCTCCCTTCTGGGAGAGAAGGACATGCAACTCTGCATTTTTTTTTTAACGGGATGGAGCAATAGCACAACGGTAGGCCATTTGCCTTGCGTGTGGCTGGCCTGGCCAATATTCGAGCCAGGTTTGATTCCGCTGGAGAGCCCAGCAAGCTACTGAGAGTAGTATCTACCGAGAGAGAGTATCTCGCCCACACAGCAAAGCCTGGCAAGCTCCCCATGACGTATTCAATATGCCAAACACAGTAACAACAAGTCTCACAATGGAGACGTTACTGGGCCTGCTCGAGCAAATTGATCAACAATGGGATGACAGTGCTACAGCACTAATCTTTTAATTTATTTATTTACAAAGTTATTGATAGTTGAGTTTCAGGTATATAATGTTCTAGCACCAAATTCCACCACCTTTTCAACTTCCCTCCACAGGTGTTCCCATGTTCCTGCCCACCCATGCAGTGCCTCCACACCTGCCACCTTGGCAGGCAGATTTTAAGAGTTTGTGGTTATTTAGATCTCATGTTTTCAGTGTTGAGTCTACGGTTTGGATACATAGTTTTATGACTCTCACACATTACCAGTATACCTGAGACCAGTAACTCCTGTTCCCCATTACTTTTCTTTCTCATCTTCTTCCTTACCCTGTTAATTTTCCTTTCCTGTCCACCTCCTCCTATACTCTGGGGCCAAAGGTGATCTAGGCATCCCCCTCTTTACTACATTGCATTTCCCAATCCAATTATTCCATATACCACAGATAAGTAACATCATCTCATGTTTGTCCTTCTTCTGACTTCATGTCTGCACACCAATATTCATAGCTGCACTCGTACAATAGCTAAGATATGGAATCAACCTAGGTGTCCAACAACAGATGAAATGATTATGAAGGTGTGGCATACAGACACAATGGACTACTATATGGCCGCAAAGAACAAGAAATCATGCAATTTGCTGCAACCTGAAATCACCTTTTTCCTTTTCTAAGAGCCATGGCCAAGTGCTCTGGCAAAGCCCCAGCTGTGGGCAAGACCCAAGTGATGCGGCTGTCTGCAGGGTCACAGGCCAGCTGCACTGGAAGCTCATCAGCATTTATTTATTTATTTATTTATTTTGGTTTTGGGGTCACACCTGGCAACGCTGAGGAATTATACCTGGCTCTATGCCCAGGAATCACTCCTGGCAGTACTTAGGGAACAATATGGGATGTTGGGGATTGAATCCGTGTCAGATGCATGCAGAGCAAGTACTCTACCTGCTGTACTATCACCCCAGCCCCCTCATTGCCATTTTAAATGCTTCTCCTCTCTCTTTTTTTTAGGGGAGGTGGTTTGTGGGTCACGCACACCTGTGATCAAGGCTCATTCCTAGCTTTGTGCTCAGGGATCACTCCTAGAGGTGCTCTGGGGATTATATGTGGTGCTGGAGATTTGAATTGACATAACAAGTTTGAAGTGGGTTAGACCATAAGCCAGGTGAGCACCTTAAGCCCTCCACTACCTCTCCAGCTTCATTATTAACAGTTCTAAAAGAAGCAATAGGCTCCCAAAGGAGGCTGTTTAATAAAATATCTCCATGGCTTAAGTATTTGCTGAAATTATATCAGATTAACTTGAGAGCATGAGATAACTCTGAAAGGGAAAAGGAGAATCTAGAAATGTTAAAGGGGAAAGGGAAGGTTTAAGTGTTGCAAACTTCTTTACTGGAGCCTACATGTCACTTTATCTCTACCAGCCTGGGCAGAAAAAGGTAGTAGGATCCCAGGCCACAGGCACCCTCTGAACCTCCTGCAATGTGTGAGTCTTAGGACTTCCAGGTGTTATATTAACCTACATTATTGATACAATGTACTTAACAAAAAACATGTTGGATATTATAAGCTATGAACTAGTCATTGGTGGAGGGGATGCAGTACCAATAAGTTCATTTACTGATGAAAGTGGTATGCAGAATATAAGCTTTCACTCTAGAGAATGGACTAGAGAGATGGTACAGGAAGTAAGTCATTTACCTTGCATTCAGTCACAACAGCTGTGACCCTAGTTCAAATCCCTTGCACAATCTTCCTGTGTACTCAATAACCCATAAATAATTATCTTCAAAACTTTTGAAGGCAGAATGAAATAATTCAAGTGCATTGATATGATTTTCTTTCAAACTTAAATGAACAAGGAGCAAGTTCATGTTAGAGGCGTACTGACTTTATGCTCCTGAGTCAGAATCCCATGTCATCAAAAAGGCTTATGGAGAAATACTCTAGGAACCAAAAATGATCCTGCACTCACCCACCATTTTTTTCTAGTGACCAAAACCCTCTGAGCTGTTTTGTAGATAATCCCCATGAGGTTTTCTAAAAAGGCAGCAGTTGAGTAATGAATTCTCTTCTTTGAAAGGCCTGCAGTCAAATCTGCAGCAGAGGTGTAATTGAAAGTGTTTGGGCTGAGCAAAGACCAGTCAATGGAGAGTCTAGCCTCATTTATCCCTTGTGTGCAGGGGGTAGTTAAATCAAAAGCAATGGCTACCTCATCTGGCTGCTTCTTCAAATTGCAGAAGCACATATTTCTATAAAGTCCACGCAACTTCTTGGGTAAGGACAGATAAAGTCCAATCAATGAGGTAATGGTCACCAGGAACTCAGCCCCCAGATCTGCATTCTTCTTTTTCAGAAACAAAGAAAGAGTCAGCACAAATTATGGATGACATTTATAAGATCGCTTCCACAGAAAGGGTCCAGCTGCTGGAGAAAGAACTGGCCATGCAACTGAGTGAACTGAAGACGGAGTTAGACACTCAGGGGACCCTCCAGGAGACCACTCAGGCATTTCACAGGTGATTCATAGCAGAAGGCGAGCAGTGCAAGGGCCACAACCAGCATTCACCCCATCGTCACCAGTGACACCCCAACTCTTCCATTTTTTGGGCATGAATAATGTCATCATCTCAAGCTCAGACTTCACTGCTGCCCTTGTCAGGGAATTGTCAAGGCATTCAGAGGCAATGTCCTATCAGAGAAAATGAGAAAGTGCTCCTATATTTTAGAAATACCATGATCTTAAAATTCTATAAGCTACCAAACAAATCTGACTCAGAGTATTCTATGTTGTTCTAATTGAATTTGACCTTGATTTTGGGGGGGGATGTTTTTGTCTTTTGGGTGTCACATTCGGCAGTATTCAAAGGCTACTCCTGGCTCTGTGCTAAGGGGTCACTCCTGGCAGAGCTTAGGGAAGCTAAGGGTAAGAGGGGGGTGGTAGTTACATGGTTTTTAGGATTGAACTTGAGCCTCTGATATACAAAGCATGTACTCATCCATTGAGCTATCTTTCTAGCCCTGACTTTGATGTTGACGAGAAATTCCCAAACAAATGATTCTAGGAATTTGTTTTAGTACATGGGATAAGATGCTTGCCTTGCATACAGCCGACCCACATTTTATCCCCAGCATCCCTTATGGTCCTCTGAGCTACACCAGGTGTGATCCCTGAGCACAGAACCACTCTGGAGTAAGCCCTGAGCACTGCTGTATGTGTCCCCAAAATCAAACCAAAATTAAAATGGATAACCAAACCTTTTCCATGGAAATGTACTGGATCAGATCTATAATATTAACCTAAATTTCACTGCCTACAGCACCCCTCCAATCGCTAGTGATTTCTCACATGAGTTCCAGAACTATCTTCGGTGGCTTTCTCACCTAGTTGCAAAGCCCCACCTTGAGAAAGTAATTATCTGCCCCAGGATTGTCAGTCCTCGATGTTCCCCCAAGTTTTCAAGCTTTGGGGGTATCTCTGACACCAAGTGGGAAGAGTGGTCCTCTTCCTCACCAGAACCCCACCTTTTTACCAGGCCCAGCAGCATTGCCTGAGCAGCAAGGTGGAGCAGGCTGCTGTGCTTCCGTTTCTCCCAGGGAGAAATGCTGTTTACTGAAGCAGGAACTCTGACTAAGCATTTCCCCAAAGCATGTCATGTTTGATATGCAAGGCCTGTTTTAACCTCCCTGATAACTGCATAGAAATTAGAAAAAAATTTTTTTTAAAACAAACAAAACATTTCAGTCAGATCTTGGTTGTGTGAGCTGGGGCTGGAAATGTGGTGTAGTAGAGCATATGGTTATGCATCTGAGAAGATGGGAAACAGTGGCTGGAGAGATAGTACAACAGGTAGGGTGTTTGCCTTGCACATGGCTGAACTGGACCATATGGTACTCCATATGGTTCCTGAACCTGACAGGAGTAATTCCTGAGCATTGCTGGGTGTGGCCCCAAAACAAAAAGAAACAAAAAAGAAGAGCAAGAGGAAGAGGAGGAGGAGGAGAGGGAGGAGGTGGAAGAAGAGGAGAAGGAGGAGGAAGAGGAGGAGGAGAAGGAGGAGGAGGAAATGGAGGAGGAGGAGAAGGAAGAGGAGGAGGAAGGAGGGTAGGAAAAGGAGGAGGAGCAAGAGAAGGAAGAGGGAAAAAGTGTTGATTTTGTGTCAATGAAGTTCACATACACGTCTGAAAATCACAGAAGTTCTTAGAAATGAGGATACTGGAGGAAATACTGGGCCCAGGGGAGGGGGCATAAAAACGTTTGCCATGACGCATTTCCTTGTGCTCGGGAGTCTGATTAGAGAGGGTACTCTGATGGTTTTTGGGAGGAGGAGAGGGAAAGGGTTCAGGGAAAGGGGTAGTGAGCATGAGGCAGACCTCAGAGAGACTCTTACCAAGGTTGTGTCCTTCCCTGCCCACAACAACCCACTATAGTACAGTCTCATGGAGAAACCAGCCTTCATAGGACACCATCAGTCTTCTGCTTCCATGTCACTTCTATAATCACTGCTTCTGTTGCACAAACTTTCTGCAGCTCAGTTCGAATGCCAAAGGACATTACTTACTTCAGAAGAGAAAGAGAACTGGCACTCAAGAAAGCTTTACAGGTGAGTAGGAAACTGACTGTGCCCATGACATAATAAGTTAGATTTTTCTGTCTTGTTGGAAACTTTCAGCAGGAAAAAGTTTATGCTTGCACACAAACATCTAATGGTGGCAAGAGCAAAACCTTCCAATATTCATCTCACTACTGCATCCAAACCAGTCACAACTTCCGCAGACATGTTTGATTTTTGTGATCTCTTCAGTTTCACAGCTCTTTCTTTTGTGATGTTGACATGTGTCCCTTGGAGACTTTGGGATAAGAGAATCACATAGAAAGCTGTCATTGTGGGGCTGGAGTGATAGCAAAGTGGGCAGGGCATTTGCCTTGCACAGGCCAACTGGGTTTAATCCCCAGTATCCTGCATGGTCCCTGAAGCCCTGCCAGGAGTAGTTTCTGAGTGCAGAGCCAGGAGTTACCCCTGACCATTGCCAGGTGTGACCCCAAAAGAAATTTTTTTAAAAAAGAAAGAAAGCTGCCGTTGTTATTTTCTGCCAAAAACATTTATTTTTAATTTTTCAACTTTTACTTATGCAACATACTTACAAAACTGTTTGCTAATAACAGTTTCAGATATAGACTATTTCAGCTCCAAATCCACCACTGATATCAGCTTCCCTCCACCTGTGCCCCAAGATCTTTCACCTGCCACCCTGCTTCCTTAGCAAACTTTTTTTATACTTTAATTACTATAGTTTTGGGTCATTTGCTTACAATAATGCTGATTCTTATGGTTTTGATGTACTCGGTTACCTCAACTCTAGTGAAGTGTCAAAGATCCTGGACCATTGTCCTAATGTATTTCCAGTCCACCAAATCATCCCCCAATCCCCATTGGTGTTCTAATTTCTGTAATTTAGAACCAAGAGTTTATGGTCATTCCATCCCTTACTCTATTTACGTGAACACTGATCCTGCTCCATTGTCTGGGTTCAGGTTGCAGAGTCAAAGCCCCTTGTCATTCAAGCAGATTCCCTGCAGAGGGAGCTCGAGAGCTGCTTAAGAAGAGAGTACACGCCTGAAAATCTACCTTTGCTTCTGTTGCAGGTAAGAAGAAGCCTTTAAGCAGTTAACAGATCTGCAACCTACACATATAAACAAAACTGGCTATCTTGTGTATTCTCTGTCTGTTATGTATCTACAGACTATGCATGTCCTTTGAATGTGGCTTGTGTGAAGGAGGTTCTTTATTAGTGACCCATGTTGCAGTTTGCTTCTGTTTAGTTACTGTACAACTGACGACTAATTGCTCCTGGGCTGGTGTTTATGAGGCAATACCTCATTGACCAAGTCACAGTCCTCCACCAGCTGTTGCCCCACTGAAGTAAAGATATTTCTCTTAAGAAATCTCTTTTAAGAAAATAGCACAGGGCTGAAGCAATGATGTGGAGGGTAGGGCTTTGCATATGGCGTATCAGGGTTCAATCCCAATTGCCACATATGGTCCCCTGAGCCCACCAGATAATATCTGACCACAGAGCCAGGAGTAAACCCTGAGCAATACCTGGAGGGCCCCCCAAACCAAAATACAAGAATGCAAAGCATCAGGGGTAGGGAAATTTCGCATGGAGGTTACTATTGCATCATTGTAATGATTGTGAAAAAAGAGTGGAATTGCCTAAATAGCTAACAGTAGGAGAGAGTGTTAAGAAAAAGCATTGTTGTACATGACAGAAACTTTATCACAATAATGGTTATGTAATATAGAGAAAATTCACTCTGAAGGACAGAGGCCAAAATGGCAGTGATCACTGTCTTTAGAGCCCTGATTATGAATTTCTGCTTTTCACTTTGATGTGTTTTTCATATCACTTTTTACCCTTTTTTCCGGGGAGTGGAGAGAGGTTTTTGGGCCACACCTGGTTTGCTCAAGGATTATTTCTTTCTCTGTGCTCAAGAGTGACCCCTGGTAGTACTTGGGGGACACAGATACTGCTGGGGGTTAAACCTGGGTCAGTCACACGCAAGGTGAGCACTTTATTACCTGTTGTATGTACAATTTCTCTAGCCCATATTCCTAACGTTTTCTACAATTAGCATTTATTTTTCTGATTTCTTAAATTCTTTGTTCTTTAAATCTTATGAGCTCACTCTGCACACAAATTGGCTTGTTGGCAATTAAATAATAAATTAATCCCAAAGAAACAAAAGGGGTTGAGATTCTACCTGCAAGTCAAACTGCTGCTATTATTTTCATCCAGGATTCTCTTTCTTTATCATTTTTGGTACTCTTCACTTCTTTGTGTATCTTGGTGATTCTCACTGGAGAGAAGGGCTCCGGGCAATGTCTGGAGGCATTTTTGTCATAATTTGGGGAGTGAGGTAGATTGCTACTGGCATCTGGTAGGTGACTGCTAAATATCCTGGGATGCTATTAAATATTCTGTAGTGCACATGGTAGCACCCCACCCACCTCCATTCTCATTATCTGCTTCCAAATGTCAGGAATGTTTCAGCTGAAAAATCTTGGTATAGTCTAAATTTCCATATACTATTTATCTTCTGCCTAAATAATTTATTCTAACACTTCTCATATCTGCCAGGGGTAAATACTCTCAATCTTTGTTGTTTGTTTTGAAAGTGTTTTTGAAAGATGTTTTTGTTCACTATAGAATTCTCAGTTAGTAGTTTTTCTCTTTTATCATGCTAAAAGACATTCCATTATCTTCTGGCTTGCAGTTTCCATTTTCTACTACAATGTCTCCTTTTGTTCATGGGTAGCTTTTAAGATTTCTTCCTAATGGCTCTAAGCTATTTGATAATGACAGTCTTTGATGGGGCTTTTCCCTTGTTTCCCTGCTTCGAATTGACTGAAATCTTAGATTGTGGTTTTATTATATTCATCATTTAAGCATTTTTTTCTCCCAACCGTTGTTTCTTCAAATGTATTTTCTATCCTTATCCTTTCCAGCATTCCATTTACACGTATGTTAAATTGCGTCCTATTAGCCTGTCACAGAGGCAGTTAAATTGTTTGTCTTTTCTGTCAATGCTCCATTTTCCATAGCTTCTATTGCTATTTTATTTTTTTCTCCCTTGGGATCTTTCAAACAGTGGTTCAGGGATCTTTCAAACAGTGGCCCTAATGTCACCTGCCCCAGCCATACTCTGTCAATGAGGCTGGTTGGTTCAGTGGTTGGACCCAAGCACTGTGGTACTGCTCGAGTCCCCAGTGCTAGGGGTCACCAGGCCATGCCAGCAATGCTTGGGCACTTCTTAGACTATACTTGGTGGTGCTTGGGGGGGCCACATGGTGCCAGGAATTGACTTGGGGTTCTGCACATGTATCCCTCACTTCTGGGTCATCTCCATGCCCCTATATCCCTGCAGTTTCCTAATCTCTTCCTCCGTAGTCTAACCAGTGGTTGATGCTATCCAATGAATATTTCCATTCCCATATTGTACTTTTCATTTTCAGAAGTTCTATTGCTTGGGGTTTTTTTTGTTTATTTGTTTGTTTTTTTTGTTTTGGATATTTTAAAATTACCTTCATATATTCACATTCTCCTTTCAATTTTTGAATCACTGTCACTATCCTCCCATTGTTCATAGATTTTCTCGAGTGGGCCCAGTAATGTCTCCATTATGAGACTTTGTTGTTACTGTGTTTGGCATATTGAATACATCATGGGTAGCTTGCCAGGCTTTGCCGTGCGGGTGAGATACTCTCAGTAGTTTGCCAGACTCTTTGAGAGGGGCAGAGAAATCAAACTCGGTTTGGCCATTTTGGCTGCGTGCAAGGCAAACACTCTACCTGCTGTGCTTTCACTCCAGCCCCTCAATCCTGGTATCTCGTGTAATATGTCCCAGTGATAAGTTGGAACCTGAGACCTTTTATGTTTGCAAGTGCCTTGCCTGTTAGCCTTTGCACAGTCTTGCGGAGTTCCATCCTCTGTGAGCATGACTAAGTGTTTGTGATAAACCCCGAAGGCACTCCTGTGCAGATTTCTGGAGCTTTCTGTGTCTTCCCTTTTAGTACTCTGCTCTGCAGACTCAGCAGAATCCAGACCACTTTCTCTTTTGCTCAGAGACCCTCCTGCTCTGCTTAGGTTTTCCATTTCTCTACTGGGAGTCCAAACGTGCCTCCTTCAGGGCAGAACACGGAGGGAAGACTCTTCTGTTTGTTTCCTTTCTCTCAAAGACCATGAGATCTTTTGCTCCAGGTCAGAAAATAGTTTTCTACAGTATTTAGTTTTGTTTTCTGCTCATTTTTATGGAGGGTGATCTTATTTATTCCATTATAGCCAGTGTTATTTCCCCTCAGAAGCAAAATATTTTTTAAAGAGTACATGTACTTATATGTTCGCTTATTTGGGGGCCATGTCTGGCTATACTCTGGGGCTACTCCTGACTTGTTGCTTAAGGGTCACTCTTGGTGATACTCATGGGCTTATGTGGTGCTCTTGCATGCAGAGCATGTACTCCAGCCCACCAATCTATCTCTCCTGCTACTTTTTAACTACCTCCTATACCTTTTTAAGAAAACATAAAATTCCTGGTTCTAAGGTTTAAAACAAATGTTTCAGCCTTTGACTTATAATTTTCAGAACTTCAGTTTCTCAGAACATTTAAGTTCAGCTTTAGACAATTTTATACTTTCATGTCATAGCTAAAATTGCTTGTGAACTGCTGCAGGAATCTACAATCTGCACAACTGACCACAGAGCAGATAAATTCACAACTACATACTTGCTTCATTCAAATGTGAATGGCACTTTAAGCTGGGTTTCTTAATGCCATGATATTTATTTGAAAAATACCTTTCTTTTCAAATAACCAGAGATGGGCTTTCCTGTTGGTGCTGTTCTTCAGACTTAATTCAGTCTTCTTATTCTAATTCTATGTTAAGTTTGAATTATTTATTTTTCTGTTCAAGTATTACACAGAGAGAGTCACCCAGCTGGCCCACTGTAAATATCTACACATGCTTAGGTGGAAGAGGTTTTGCCAGCACAGTAAGATCATGGAGCAACTCTATCCTGTTTACAAGGTAGGAAGCTTGTGAGCAGAAAATGTGAGCTGTTTCTCCTAATGAATCAAAATAGTGATAAGCTTGTTGATACACTGTTATCAAGTATAGTCACCATGCCTCTGCATTAGTTATCTAGACTTGCTCATCTTATGTTAATAGCAGACCATACCCTTTGACCAATATCTCCTCATGCCCCACTTCCACCCCATATCCTGATAATCATTGTTCTAGTCTCTGTTTTGATGAGATTCACTATTTTTAAAAAATATTCCACATATCAATGAGATCATGAGATCTTATGGTATTGACTTTTTTCTGTCTGGTCTACCTCATTTAAGCATAATTTAGCATGAGCCATAATAGTGGAGGTGGCAAAATTTCCTTCTCTCTCATTAATGAATATTATTCTATTGTGTGTTTGTGTGTGTGTATACACATATGGAATATTATGAGTGGTTAATGGAATAATGTAACTTGAGCAATTGGATAATTGTCAGATCACAATTTGAATTTTATGAATGGATAAAGAAGATCTGGTGGGTCTTAACACCCAAAAGGAAAGAGAGAACACAGGGGATTGCCCTGCCACAGAGACAGGGGGGATGGGGGGATGGGGGTGGGAGGGATATTATCCATGGTGGTGGAAAATGGGCACTGGTGGAGGGATGGGTATCTGATCATTGTATAATTGAAACCAAAGCACAAAAAATTGTAAATCTACAACTTTAAAAAAAATAAAATAAAATAAAGGGAAAAAAAAAGAGAAAAAAAAGGAAAAAAAAAGATCTGGTGGGTCTTTTTGTGTGTATGCATATATAAATGTACACCACATCTTTTTAAAATTTTATTATTTAATTTTTTTATTGACTCACTGTGAGATAACCCTTACAAAGCTGTTCATGATTGGATTTCAGTCATACAGTATTCCAACACCCATCCCTCCACTAGCGTACATTTTCCTGAACCAATATCCCAAGGTTCCCTCCCATCACCCTACTCTCCACCCCCTGCCTGCCTCTATGGCAAGTGCTTTCTTTCTCTCTCTCTCTCTCTCTCTCTCTCTCTCTCTCTCTCTCTCTCTCTCTCTCTCTCTCTCCCCCTCTCCCTCTCTCTCCTTTTGGACATTGTGGTTTATGATATTGATACTGAGAGGTTATCAAGAATATCCTTTTACCTACTTTTAGCACTCAGACCTTGTCCAGCGTGATCATTCCTTGCTATTATTGTCATACTGGTTCCTTCTCTATCTTACCTACCCTCAGCACCACACACACTTGTGGTTAGTTCCAATCATTGACCAATCCTCCCCCTGTTGTCCTTGGCCATAGATATTAGTCATCTACTACATATATTTTTAATATACCACAAATGAGTGCAATTGTTCTATATCTGTCTCTCTCCTTTGACTAATTTCACTCTTTATGTCCATCCATTTATAGCAAATTTCATGACTTCAGTTTTCCTAACAGCTGCATAGTATTCCGTTGTGTACACCACATCTTTATCTAATCACCCACCAACAGACTCTTAAGTTGTTTCCATATCCTGACTATTGTGAGTAATGTTGCAATAGACATGAGAATCCAGCTAGCTCTTCTAAACAACGATTTAATCATATATATATCCAGAAATGGGTTTGCTGGATCATATGACAGTTCTATTTTTTGAGGAATCTCTGGATGTTTTCAGAAATAACTGCATCAACTTACATTCCCACCCACAGTATATAGCTTGTAAAAAAAAAATTAAGTCACAGCTAAAGGTAGCAGAGAAACTAATGGATATACCTATTGGCTAGTTATGCTTGTGGTAGAAGACAATATCCCTATTTTTAAGAATGAGATTTGAAGGAAAAGGTATATGCCTTCCTTTGAAGACTGGACCTCTTCCACTCTTGGTAAAAGTTAAGAAGCTGACACTATCCAGCTATCAAACATACTTATTCCTCTATTCTTTGCTAGATTTTCTATCTTTCAAGTCCTGAGAACTTGTCCTTGTCAGTCAGACAGATCCAACTTTGCAAAATTCAGAATATGGACGCATTGTGATATTCTAAGAGCCTCTTATGTGACCCCAAATGACATAGCTCTATGCTTGGAAACAAACAACAGAAAAGAACAAGGCATGCAATCACCAAGTTCTGTCTTTGCATCTCTCTTCGACAGAAACAAATTGCCTATATTGTGCGGGAATACAATGATGCCCTTCAGAGAGCTGAAAGATTGTCTGTCGCTCGAGAAAACTTCCTTATGGGGAAAAGCAACCCTCTGAACTTAGTGACACAGCAAGACCTGACTATTTATACAAAATGGTTAGTGTGTCACCTGCATTCACTCAAGACTATTCACCATTATCTGCAGGTATGTAAAGCATAGTCACATGACAATGACTCTCCCGCCATGGTCAACCCATTGCTTATTCATACCTGTCAACTAGCTTTCGATTGTAAGTTTCTGGATTTTACCTGCCCTACTCATGACAGGAAGTAATGGTTCACTTGTTCTATTGAAATGATCACCTTTTGGAGCCTTGCTTTAGTGAAATTGCTCCACTAATTCAGTTTTCTCAGAGATATGTCTGTTGGATCAATTCTTAGTCAGATAGTGAAGTTCTTATTTTTGTTATCTGATTCAGTATCCGAAGTCCTCAATATAGACTCACTTTTTCATTCCAGAATATCTTACGGGATCTAATATGTTGGGTGCATGTCTTGGACAAATTTGTAAAAGAATGATCTTTACTGAAAAGTTGACATAGGCCCAAGTTAGGAGGAAGAAGAGTAAATCAATTTCAGTTCACTGAAAAACAGTGACATAAGAATAAAATGAAGACAATAAGGATAAAGAGAGTCACAGAGGCATGCCCACACCTAGGTTAGAGGTATCAGAAAGGAGTGACACGATCACATATACACTTTAGAAAGATGATTGTGGCTGGAGAGACATTCAGAGATTAATATACTTTCTTCATGTGGCTAACCCTGGTTCCAACCCCAACACCACATGTTTCCCCAGCACTGCCAGGAGTGATTCTTGAGCACAGAGCCAACAGTCAACCCTGAGTACCTCTAAGTGCTCAAAACCAAAACAAAACAACAGCCCAAATCATAAAGATAATTGTTTCACGACCAAAATATTACTCCACTCTTTTTTATCTGAATGTGACACCATCCATAAAGTGAATGATGGATTATACAAACCGGAGACATGGCCATCATCTTCACTTCCTCCCTCTCCTGATAATTCAAAATGGGGTCTACCTTTGATACATAGCTTCCCAGTCACAAGGTAGAACAAGCTGTGTTTGATGCATGTCTTATTATTAGCCTGAGTACTTCACGCAATGCCTTTCCTCTGGATGTTTGATCAGAACAGACCTGCCTCCAGGTAAGGACACTAGAATTGGTCTCTCAGCTTTGTATTTAGCCTGTCATGACTGGGCATGTCCCCAAGGCCAACCTCTTCCTCTGTTAAAGCAGTAAAAGACAGCTCCTAAATATAGATCTGGAAGCGTCTGTGGGAATGAGGTTGATGTGCATCTTCCTGGTTGTGTTCTTCTCCAGGCCCTCCAATTCTTACCTATGTCCCAGACTCTGAGTGTCATTGTTGACAAAGTGTCTGCGGAAGGTCAGGAAAAGGAGCAAGTCAGTCACATGGACTCCAGCACCCAGGGTCCTGCAGCTGCCGGTCCTACCGATGACAGCATTTCAGGTAAGAAAAGAGACTTTTTCTCCTAGGATTGCTCGAGCGGGCCCAGTAACGTCTCCATTGGAGACTTCGTTGTTACTGTGTCTGGCATATTGAATACGTCACGGGGAGCTTGCCAGGCTCTGCCGTGCGGGCAAGATAATCTCGGTAGCTTGCCGGGCTCTCCGAGAGGGGCGGAAGAATCGAACTCGGGTCGGCCATGTTGGCTGCGTGTAAGGCAAACACCCTACCGCTGTGCTAGGATAATGAGGAGAAAAGAAGACTGAGTTTTACACACATGTGTTCTTTTTGTTTCATTCTCATGCTTGAAAACATTTTTTCCCCTGTCTTTTGTTTTATTTTTGGGGGGAAGCCCACACCTCGTGGCGCTCAGGGGTTATTCCTGGCTCTATGCTTAGGAATCACTCCTAGCATGCTCAGGGGATCATATGGGACGTCAGGGATCAAATTTGGGGGGGTCTATGTGCAAGGCAGGTGCCCCAACACCCTACCCATTGCACTACTGCTCTAGTCCTTGAAATTTTTCTTTTTAAATTAAAAAAATTATAATAATACTGTGTTTTACCAAATTGTTCATAATACAGTTGTTTCAAGCATCAAATGTTCCAATACCAATCTCACCATCAATGTGACCTTCCCTTCACCAATGCCCCCGGTTTCCCACCTACTATTCTAGCCTACTCCCATAGCAGACACAAACAAATTTAACTCATACGCAAAGGCAAATGGAATTATCGTCTCATGACGGAGACGTTATTGGGCCCACTCGAGCAAATTGATGAACAACGGGAGGACCGTGATACCGTGATATCTCACAGTGGTATTAATAAAGTCATTATCTGAGGATTTACTGGCTGTTTGGTGCTGGTTGAGCCTTCTCTGTAATTGTTTTTGCTCATCAGACTTGGTGGTCTTCTATGCAACTTTCCCATCAGAATTGCTGTGATCCTATTGGGCTGACAGGGCTATGAAATTTGGAGGTGTTGTGTGGCTGCCATGTGAGGCCATGAGGCCCAGGACTTATGGAGCTGGAACAATTTGGTGACATGGCAGCTTGATGAGGTTCAGTTGTAGAGCTGGGCCCTTTCTATGTTGGAGGGTGTCAGGTGTGACTGTGGGCTGCTGTGCCTTCAGGCAAAAAGGGGAATCTGCCTGCCCCCATTCTGAGAAGGCCCCAGAGTTCTCAGCCTAGACCAGTCTGCATGGAAAGATTCAGCCAAGTCATGTTATGTTCAGAATCAGTTACTTGTCTGCCAGCAAGATGATGGGTACGGGCAGGGGCTGTTGGGTTTTCCACAGTGGTGGAAGTGTGGGGGATGGGGCGAATGTGCTAGCCAGAATTTTTCTATATACCTAAGTGTTATATCATCTTGATGGACTACTGTTAATTTTTTATTTTCTGATGGAAAAGGAATAACGAATATTTCCTTACACAGCATTATCTTCGCCTTTATAATTAGCAAATTAAGAAGCAACAAACTTAAAGTCAGAAATATTGATCTATTCCTGTAGTGGCCTCATGTAGATTAGCAAGTTTCAGTCATGTCATCTCCTGGGTTTTTTGTTTTAAGTGAAGCAAGATAATATTTTTTTATTGAACAAAATTTGGTTAGAAATACATGAGGGAGAGAACGAGAGGAATATTTGTTCAAGAAAGCACACAGACTTCTCTAGAGTAGAAAAAAAAACATATGTTAAGGGAGATTTAAAGGCTTGAATGAGCAAGCCAGTGATTTTTATCTCCTTTGGCCTCAATTTACTTATCACCAAGTTAACTGCTCAGATGAAATAATCTCTAAAATCCCTTAAGATTAAATGCTACATTATTTAATCTGAACTACCATAATGGACTTCCTATCCTTTCCTACCTTGGATTAGAAACATCTATGGAACCTAATTAGGTTTCCACTCTGAGACATATTTCCTTAGGGTAAGTTCATGATGTACCTGTAAGAAATCCAGACAGAACCTCACAGTGGGGTCATGAGAGGTGGAGGGAGTCAGAGTGAAGGAAGAAAAGAGTATCGCCTCTCCTAAATTTGTTGTTTCATTGATAAATCAACTTCTTTATTTATCAGAAAGGACTGAAGGCATTGTTGTCTCTACTAAGTGTAATGAGCAGTTCCCTAGAAATAGGATTCAATACAACTGTGCATATACCTTTTAACATTGTTTATTAGCCTCCACACAATAGAACACCCATTAATACATATAGATCTAATTTATCACACAAAGTCTATCGCTCAGGTTATGATTCATATAGTTTCCCAGACACTTAAGTCAGGACCAGCCCACACTTTCTTAGTATCAGAGTCCAAGACACTCAAAGTTCAAGCTGGGAGCAAATACTGAAATGCTTCTGGCCTTACAACAGCTTAATGGGGCTCCATGATGTAGCCATTGGCTGGATAGGAGAGAGGATCAGGTTGCACATGGAATGGTCCCTGGGTTCTTGAGTACATTGCTTGTGAGCACTGATACGTTGGAGAGGGCTACCGAGGTCATCTCTGTTAGTGTTCTGAATTCTTCTCTCTTTATTCACACTTCTGGGTGGAACCCTTGGCCTTTGTGAGGTACCCTAGAGCTATTATCAAAGGACCAGTGTCTCTCTTGTCTGACTGACAAAGAAGGGTCGTTGGCTATTCCTTGATCTCACATTCTGATTGGCTACACCCAAGGTGTGACTCTCCTCCTTGCTTTGGTTGTCATATATTAGCATGAGTCCCTTCATTTTGTTTTACGTTTTGTCATTGTCACTATCCTATGGTGACCAGGGTTCCCTGGTGCTTTTGAGACCAATGACAGTGTTTCCCCGACCCTGGCTGATGGATGAAGGAATGGGGCCACAGGTTGGTTATTAGTGGTTGGTAATCAGTAGTCATTTATTCAAATATCTCACCATTATTATAGAGGAATAATGAAGGGTTGGGGGAAGCAAATACACATAGGTGTGGTTGAACATTAACATAAAATGAACAGAAGTCAAGCCCCCCCCCCCACCTTCAGGGAAAATTCTTTGAGAAGATCCACCCAAGGACAGAATATCATTTAAGGGCTCCAGCACTCCAGAATCCTACTAGATCTGCCCAAGGGTGGAATTCCATCTAGGGACATATTGCTTTCTCCATTCCTTTGCAGGTAATCCATTTAAACAGTCAAATTAAATTTACTTCAGAATATTTCTAATCATTTAGTATAAACACAATAAGAGATATAGGCTTTTATCTTTAATCTGTACCCTAGATTTAGCTTAATGTGTGGCTTTTTTCTGGCAACACCTTGCTATATTTCCCAGACTACAGTCCTCAGGTCAGATTAGTTTTTTCTAACCCCAGCAGTTCCCCTTTTCAGTTACTTCTTTTTGGGTCATGACAGAATTTGTTCATGAACGTGCTCTTGATTTATCATATCTCTTATGGTACTTAGGCTCTGCCTTTTTGAAGCCACGGTAGCTTATGGCTTGCCCTGGATCCATCCAATCTCTCAACAGGACCCACTTTTTAGGACTAAAGTTAGTTAGGAACTTTAGTTAGGAACTAAAGTCAATCTAAGGGCAACTGAGGCTTACATAAATATGATGGATACCCCAGAGTAAATATTATTCTGAGTCAATTAACTCCGATGTTACAAAAGCATAAACATTAACTGTCTTCTTGTGTTTATACAGAAAGGATATTGCTATTACTCTTACAGAAAGCCAGCATGAAGGATTTGTCAGACAGAGCTAGCTTAATGGAGGCATCCCAGGAGGAGAAGGCTGAGCAGGCTCAGACAGGCCCTCCTATCAGCAGAGGAGGTCCTACCACCAGTCAAATAAAGAACCCTAGCGATCATTGGTCTTAATATTCTTGCTCTTGGGTTTCCACAGAGTGTTCCATAAGAACAGATGCTACTTTTGTCCTGCCACAACACACAACAGAAACAGAAGATCTGAAACCTCCGCTGAAACTCCTGCTCTGCCATTTCCATATTCCTTACGATGTGGAGGAGCTCAGGGACTCCGCTAAGGAAATGGAACTTTTCTCCTTGGTACTTTGTTGACTCCTTCTTAATACAAACTTAGATGTTCATGAAAGAAAATACCTATATTTTTGCCCCAAAGGTAGATATTTGTACTGTCATCATTGATTCTAGGGAGATAATATCTAAAACTGATTGGGAAGATTTATATCAGCATCTGAAACCCCTCTCTGCAAGGATGATGGGACTCTAGAATAGTCAGCTCGGAATTGCAGGATGCCTTTCTGCAGAACTTAGGAAAAGGGGGTAGGTTCGAGTTTTTTTTAAATGTTGAAATTTTCAAAATGATGAAAATGTCACTGAGATTGGACAGATTTGCATGGCGAGGTTGTCAAATTGTAAAGTTGTTTGATTCTGAGACTGTTCCATGACAAAATTGTGCTTTTAATTCAATAGAAATCCACTGTGCAGTGATGTCTAAAGTCACACAGTATTACACAGAATTACTACACTTCTTTCAAGAAAAAATGCCAGATATTATTTCATGGCAGGTGGGGGGTTGGGGGCGGGCACAGGGAGAGGGCTGGGCCACACGCAATAGTGCTCAGGGCTAGCCTGACTTTTTGCTCAGCAGTGACCACAGGGGTTCTCAAGTCACTATATGTAGTGCCAGTGATTCAAATCAGGGCCAGTCTCATGCAAGGCAAGTGTCTAATCTCTTATACTACCTCTCCAGCCCCTCCATGATTACTTTTTTTAATTGTATTAAAATTTGTCTCAAACTGGAAAGTAGAACTGAGAACATTCAATTTGCTCTAACCACACATTTCAGCAGTTTCCACAATGAAGATATCCTTCTGGTTCATGCTGTACAATCTTTGCAAGAGGATATTTAGTTATGTAAACACAATAAAAGGATACAGCCACACAAGCAGAAAAGCAAACCTGAGTGATTTCTCATGCCTGCCGGGTGAGAGGGAGACACTGTGTGTCTTTCATTCCCCCATCCATTGCATTTTCCAACATCGTCCTACCAGAATGATTTCTTTTGGTCAACAGCACAGATTCTTTAAGGTCACTGGAACCAATGGTGTATATGGCAGGTGTAGTACACGGGATGTAAGATATGCCTCTTGATCCTCTTCTAAGTGTGTGAAGTTCTCCGGGGTATCAGGAGTGGGCACATTTATTTCATAGCATGTGACCTCAAGAGGCTCACTGAGTACTGAGAACCTCATTACCCTGAGTGGCTCGTGTACCCAAAGTTCTACCACAAGCTCAGGATGCCTGGCAGGCATTGAAAAAGGAGGAGAAAAATGCTTTAGGCATCATGATAGCAGAGGACTTCAGAGAAGGCAGTGGTACTCTCAGCCTGACAGTGAGGTAGGAAGTAAGGCACCCAGAAGTTTCTTCACAGGTTCTAGCACTCAGATTCTTCTCTCTAACAACTTCCTGCTTAGGTTGCCAGGAGCAAAATTTATCTACATCTACCATTTATTAGTTCACCAAATGATGAGGTGGTGGGGAAATGATGCATTTCCAAAGGTGGACAGTTTATTTCCCCTCTAGAGCCCAGCTCAAAATTTTCATGGAAATATATATTACACAATAGTTCTAGTCTTCAGAGCAGATTATTGAGAACACAGAACACACACACACACACACACACACACACACACACACACAGAGCCATGTTAAGGAAGTGTGCACATATGCTTCACAGGTTTATTTATTGATGGCCTGGCACTACTCCAGAGTCATGTCTTAGGAGTTAGTTTGATACCAAAAGTGTGTCAAAGACAATCATTGCTGGAGAGATAGTTCAATGGGCTGAGCTCATGCTTTGCATGCAGGAGACTTTGTCACGTTCCATTCCTGGCACCACGTGGTACCTCAAGCACAACCGTAATGGCCCCTGAGAACTGAGCTGAAAATAGCTCTGAGAAGCCCTGGGTGTTCCACTTCCCCTCTCCCCCGCCAAAAAATTCAAAGGCAGCCTGTAGCTGTTCCTTGAACTTGCCTCTAATCTGAAACTTCTTTATTTGGGGTGGGGGTGGTCTGTGTCTCTTTTCTTGATCCCATTTAGATTTCCCAAAAGTTCCCAAGCCTTTTCATGGAGCAACAGAAAATGAGAACATTTCCTGATTACGATTCTGCAGTGGCCAAAGGGGGGACTTTGGGTTTGGCCGGAAGAGGCATGGCCTTGAAGAAGAGAGCCAACTGGACTTCCTTTATAAAGGTAAGGAGACAAGTGGTGACAGTCATCTGTCTTTTGTACCAGCAGTGTCCCAAGGACTTCCAAGATTGCAGAGAAACTTGCCATGTCTCTTTTGTCCCCATTCTCCCTTAATTCCTTAGAAAATTGTTCCCTTGGACTAGAAGAGGTCCCTGAAATCTTCAGAAAAGAATCAGAGCACCTGACATTGTGCACTGTGTCTCCCCACCTCTCCTCTGGTCTCTATTGACTCAAGACAGACCCATCCACCTTCTGGAAGGTTCCCCATTCCTAATCCTCTCTCTGGGATCAAAACTCCCTTTTGTTATTATTAGTGAATCTTGCAAGGCAGCCAACAGATGGATGCTCAGAGCCATTACTGAATTAATGCAGGATTTTAATCCCAAACATGTATTGAGAAGATACTGTTTGCTGGGTGTGACTCTTGGTGCTGGAGACACTCTATCCACAGACTTTGCTGCTCAAGGGAGAGGATGAGACAGCACAGGAAGATGCAAGGGCAGTCTGTTCTGATGACTGGTTATGTTTTATAAAGTTGTCACTGAATTAACTAACGCCAAATCATTATTCAGAGAGGCAATATGGGGTTGGGTTCATGGTCAGTACAGAGTCCTATTTTCCGTTTCTGTTGTAAGACACTTTGTTGAGTGTGTGCTGTTGACTCACTAATGTCAAGGCTCTGACTCCCTGCATTATAGCTCTTATCCAAAGGAAGCTTATCAAATGTGCCGTTTCATCTCTAAACCTTCCAGTGTTTGGGGGTGGCAGGCACTTCCCCATGATCTTGGGGTTCTTCTTTAGATGTTACACCACTAACAACAACCCTCTGTGTCACAGCTAGAACCCAGGATCCCATACAAGTTCTCTACCACTGGGTCGTTTTCCTAGTCCTTCAGAGCCATTCAAAACAGTGAAATCTTCAACAGAAAGCACAAATGTGTATAAGCATAGCACTAAACAGACCACCCAAAGGACCCCTGTTTGTAGGATGAGAGCAAAAAACAGAAAGCAGAACGTAGCCTGATGTCTTTAGCTGAGAAGGCAGAGTTGCACCACTCCAATCTGTTTGTACATACCCCCCAAAACTCCTCCTACACTGACACATTTTATTCTCTCTGTTTTGGGAGATAGGCCTTTCCAGCTGTGTTTGGGTTGGGAGGGACACTCTTAGTTATACTCGGCCCATAACTGTGGGTTTGGTGGTTCGGGTTCTTGACTTGGCAGTGCTGGTAGATGTAATACTGGTGTCTGAACTCAGGGCCAACCATGTACTACAGCCCAGCTAATTATTTCTGGGTTCCTCAGGACTGATTTGGAGGTTGCAGGTAAGTATTTGGAACTAGACAAATACACTAACACCAACCAACCACACGAATCATGAGAATCACTGCTTTAGAATGGAAAGAAAAGTCTTCTGTGAGAGGGGTTCGGGAAGTGATTCAATGGTAGAGCACATGCCTTATAGCTTTGTATGTATAAGAACCTGGCAACACACACACACACACACACACACACACACACACACACCATAGAGTTTCATGTGATGAAGGTGGACAGAAAGAAAGAAAAACTATCAAAGATTATTCTATAGTGGAGAATTTGAGCAATATCTGGTGGGCATAGGGTGAACCACTTTCTTATTTATTTTTTAAATTATTAAATTATTGGTTTTGTGGGCACACCCATCGGTACTCAGGGGTTACTCCTGGCCCTACCAGGAATTACTCTTGTTGAGCTTGGGAGACCATAAAGGATTCCAAGGATCAAACCTGGATCAGCTGCATGTAAGACAAGCACCTCTAACCCTCTGTTCTATGGCTCTGGCCCCATATGTTTCAAATTGTTATAGTTTCTAAGTATAGATCAGAGGAAGTGACTGGACATGACAGGTGTTTCTGAGATGAGTCTGAGATATGCAGACCCTCACCAACTCTGGCCAGGAAACTTCCTAGCCCTGAGTTCCCCACCTCCCCCATTTCAAAAGGTCCTTAAATTCTTTTGCAACAACTTTGCTTGAAAACATTTTGTTACATGGTAACTATCCATACATATGTTTGCCCACTAGATTAAACCAAAATGTGATCCTTGGCAAAGGAAGCTTTTGACTAAACTAAAAGAAGGAAGAAGGATAGATGTATTAATGCAACTCCAAGCAAAATTTTTGAAGGTAAAAGTGTACCCTTGTTCCCTTGTAGATAAAATTCTTACTAACCATTCTTAGAAAATTTAGTTTTCTTTCGCTTTCAAAAAATAGGTTCATGGATTCACTATGAAGGATTTATTTGAAACTTTCTAATATCTGTTGGAATATCATTGCTAAATTTTTTAAATCCTATTAACTTTCAGTGGAATAACAATTGTCAAAAGTCTGGCTTTAGAACTAAATATCTCTGTGATCCATCATCCATCACATAATCTCCTTGAGCTTTAGTTTCTTCATTTATGAAACAAAAGTGCTGAAGTAACTTACATTTATTGTGGTTTAAGAAAAAGCATAAAAGTTACCTTATTATCTATGAAGTGTTCTAGTCAGTAGTGTTCTTCTATGCATCCTGTTATAAAGCAGACCTCAAGAATAACAATCCCCTGGGCTGGAGCAACAGCACAGCGGCTAGGGCGTTTGCCTTGCACGCGGCCAACATGGGATTGATTCCCATCATCCCATATGGTCCCCTGAGCACCGCCAGGGGTGATTTCTGAGTGCAGAGCCAGGAGTAACCCCTGTGCATTGCTGGGTGTGACTCCCCCCCAAAAAAGAATAACAATCCCCGTTTCTTCCCCGTCCCCCAACAATCTAGTACCCTCTTACATGCTTTATTTCTATGACTCTGACTACTTTTTTATACCTGGATTATAGGGGGACTCACACAGCTTTAGTGTTTTATAATTGGTTTCATTTTTTGTTTGGTTTTGTTGTTTTGAAGTTTCCCCATCCATGTCTGGGTTCGCCAGTTCTGACTGTCTGGCACCATTCTGGAGGCCTGAGGAGCTGGAATCAAGCCCGGGGCTGCACCCCTGCCAGATATATGCTCTGTTTCTCTCACCCATCTCCCAGCTCTGTAACTGGGTTCTTTTTGGGGTGGGGGTGGGGATGATGGGGAGATTTGGGCCACATTCAGTGGTGCTCAGACCACTCCTAGTGGTCTTGGGGAACCATATGTGGTGCTAAAAATGAAAATGGGATAAGCCACAAGCACGGCTGAATGCAGAGCCAGAAGTAAGTCCTAAGCGCAGCTGAATGTGGCCCAAAAGCAGAGAGAGAGAGAGAGAGAGAGAGAGAGAGAGAGAGAGAGAGAGAGAGAGAGAAAACTAAAAACAGGATTTTGAAAAAGTTAACCTTTTCATACTATCTCTCTGGACTCCTGTAACTGGATTCTTTCCCTTAGCATTGTATCTTTAAAGTTGGGGCCAGAGAGATAGTACAGTGGGTAGGGTGCTTGCTTTGCATGTATCATACCCGAGTTCTATCCCCATGACATTACATATAGTCTCCTAAACTCTCCAGCAGTAATCATAGCACATCCTCAGTGTGGTGTGACCTTGAAACTTGACCACTGAAATTTCACCCAGAGGCACACTATCTCTTTCTACCCTCCTTTCAGCCATGTTCCGCTATCCATCCCTATAACTGTGACCATTCTCAGTATTACATGTTAGTGGAGTCATGAAGTATGTGTTCTTTTAAAGAGTAGCTTATATCACCCACCACAATATTCCCAAGTATCATCCATGTTGGAAAATGGACCAGAATCCCCTTCCCTTTAAAAAGCTTAATTATTATTGTCCTATAAATACTCAAACTATTTTACTCTATTCATTTTTTTCATGGGCATTTGAATTGCTTCTACCTCATGACTGTTGTGAATAATGCTACTCAGATCATAAATCTACAAATACCTTTTCAAAACCCTGCTTTCAGTTCTCTCTCTCTCTCTCTCTCTCTCTCTCTCTCTCTCTCTCTCTCTCTCTCTCTCTCTCCCCCTGTCTCAATTTCACTGGCTTTTGGGTCACATTCAGCTATGCTAAGGGCTTACTCCTGTCTCTGAACTCAGGAATTAGTCCTGGCAGTGCTCAGGGGACTATATGGGATGCCAAGGATCAAGCCTGGGACGGCCCCATGTAAGGCAAGCAAGCACTCTACCTAATGTACTATCTCTCTGTCTTTTACTTTTTATAAATACCTAAGTGTAGATTTGCTGTATCTACAGATAATAATAAGATGATTCTATTATCTTCTAAAGGAATTTCTATATAGCAAGTACTTCATTTTACAATCCCACTGACAGGGTACAAAGGCATCCATTTCTCTACATCCTCAAAAAATCCCTGCCGTTTCCTTTCTTTATTCTACACTGCAATCCTACGTGGAAATAAGGTGATAGCTCACTGGACATTTACATATCATATTTGGAGAATGTCTAGTAAAGTTATTTGGCCATTTTCAAATTGCGTTATTTGATAGTAGACGATCTTTCTATATCTTAGATATGAAAACTATATCAGAATATGATTTTGAAATGTTTTCTCATTCTGTATATTGCCTTTTAAGTTTTTGAGTTGTGCCCTTTGAGGCACAGGAATTTTTAAGTCTAATGTAGTCACATTAGTCTGTTTTTGCCCATTCTTCCATTTTGTCTGTGCTTTTATACGACATCCAAATAATATCATGAACAAACTTATAATAATTTTATGACCTATTTTAAATCTTCAACTCATTTTGAGTTAAGTATTGTACATAGTTTAGGATTTCGCTCAAACTTATTATTTTGCATGTGTATATCTAATTTTCCTGGCATCGTTTGTTAAGGGGACTGTCCTTTCTCCACTGAGGAATTGTGTTTTGACTATGTACTCAAGGGTGTATTTGTAGATTTTCTCTCCTATTCCATCAGCCTACATGACTGAAACATCCAGTACTGCCTCACTTTGATTACTAAAGTTTTGTAATCTTTTGAAATCAGGAAGTGTGAGTTCCTCAATATTGTTCTCTGCTTTCAGAAGACTTGGGGGGAGTCCCCTGAAACTCAATAGGAATTTTAGAATTCATTTTTCTATTTCTGCAGAAACTGCCAGTGAGACTTTTGATAAGAATTTGTATGAATGGTCTTTGATGCTTCTTGTCATATTACAGTGATTAAAATACAGTAATATGTATATCACTGAAATGAAAGATTTTCAGCTCTGGGACTATAATTCTATTCTTAATTCTTAGATGTAGAGAATGAAGATTTATTCACCACCTGTTCCAGGTCAGTTTTCTTGAAACAATACTGAGAGAGACTCTATTAAGTGCTCCTGGGAGTGAGACTTGTCTGCTTGGTGGAAAAACTCAGGATTCAAATAGTTGCCTATCTAACACCACATGACAGTTTCCTCTTCCATATCCTGAAGCTCCTAACAGCAGACTGTACAAAACTAAGTATTGATCCTTTCACCGGTGCCACCCCTTGTAGGAGTTCTACCAGCTATTATGTCTAGGGACTTACCTCAGAATTTTAAATGAGTTGCAAAATATATTTGGATACTTAATGCATTGGATGAACATCCCTACAGGAAAGTAAAGTTTGTTTCATTGCATAATGTCCTGCCTGGGGTTTCTTTCTGCTTCTTGTCCTCATGATCTAATTTTTCTGAGAAGAAAGGAATAACTCATTTCCTACCCATTCCTTCTTTCTGTTCTTTTACTCAAGATTTCCCAGCCTGAGCGAGTAATGCAAGTGCTCCAAGCTCATGCTGCAAAGACACTCTTGCTGGGCTCCTCACATTCAACTTCTGCAGCTTCCCAAGATCTGCACCAGGACAGTTATGACCAAATATGGGAGAATATTTACAGCAACATCAACCTGTATAAGGTAAAAAAGAAGAAATAATTAATATGCTTCTCTGCTCTACTCAACACCTATGCTTAGCCCTTAGAAATTTACCTTGATAGTTTTTTCAGTGATCCTTTCCCCTCCCTTCAGAAAACTATTACCTAGCCAGGTTTATTTTCCTTATGTAGAAAATTTTTACATAAGGAGGCTGAAGAGATAGCACAGCAGGGAGGGTGTTTCCCTTGCACTTGGTTGATTGGGTTTGATCCCTGGCATCCATATAGTTCCCTGAGCCCTTTTAGGAGCAATTCAAAAGTTTAGAATCAGAAGTAACCCCTGAGCGTTACTAGGTATGGCCCCCAAACAAAAATGTTTTTAAAAATTAAATTATAATTAAAAAAAGGAAAATTGAACTGGAAAGACATACAGCAGGTCGGCACTTGAGGCCAACCCCAGTTTGATCCTCAGCACTACATATGGTCTATTGAGCCCCTGCAGGAGTGATTTCTGAGCAGAGAGCCAGGAGTAAGTCCTGAGCACTGCCTTCTATGACCCCAATGCTAATAAGAACAATAATAATGATGATGCGATAGCACAGCGGTAGGGCATTTGCCTTGCATGCAGTCAACATGGCCGACCCGAGTTCGATTCCTCCGCCCCTCTCGGAGAGCCCGGCCAGCTACCGAGAGTATCTCACCCACACGGCAGATCCTGGCAAGCTACCCGTGATGTATTATATATGCCAAACACAGTAACAACAAAGTCTCCAATGGAGATGTTACTGGGCCCGCTCGAGAAAATTGATGAACAACGGGAGGACAGTGACAGTGACAATAAAATTAAAATGTTTTTGTCATGCCATGAACACGTGAATATTTGTGCTGAGCTGTGCACTCTAGTTTCACACCAATGAGCCTGACAGTTGTTCAATATTCTGAGTGTTTAGAGTGTAGTCGAGCAGCATCTAGTCTGGGGCCCATGAACTCCTGTGCTCTGGTCCTGGCACACATCAGGATAGACACAAATGCTGCTTATCAGCTACCTATGACCCCTATGCCTGTATTGTGTGACCCACAAATGATGTTATAAATATTCAAGTGACCCTTGGCATAAAAATTGGTTCCCATCCCTGGTTTAGTGAAAATGTGATCCTTACAGTAGGGAGAGTTCTACTGAGGAAATGTCTTGAGAAGGAGGAAATTGATTTTAACTTAAGGGAAGCAAAGGCATAGGGAAGTGGTGGTGGAGGATATAGAAAGTAAATTCAGGAAGAGAAGCATAAACTGTGGTTCAGGGGAGACAGAGTGTACACGTCTGCTTTGGTTCCAAAGAGATTCATGAGGAAACACAGTGGAGAAAGGTCTCTTTGAAAAAAATTTTGAGGTGAGAGGTCACCCAGCTGTGCTGGGGGCTAGCTCTGAACTCAGTACTTGCTGGCTTCTCCCCCACACTGCCTGGAGTAATCACGTGCGTCAACCTGGGGTTCCAGCTTGCAAAGCTACTCTTGGCCCCTGAGCCATCACCCCATTTATTTTAGTGGAAGGAGGAAGATTGTGAATGCCTATAAACTCTTTGTTAAGGAATATGTACTTTGTGTGTATGGGAAGTAATATGTGCAAAGCTGTCATTTTATCCTGCCTGAAGATAAAAGCTGGAGCTTAAAGGTAGATAAGTGTAGCAACTAGGTGTTTATTGTATTAAAAGAAGGAGATTGTGGTGGTAGGAGAGGCATGAAGCTTGGCATTGAATGGACATTCTTTCTACACAAAACCAACAGGTCATTGTCTTTATAGTGGCACCCTAGCTTTGGGAGGGGGAGGTTGAGGGTGTTGGAGCCACAGCCAGCTGTGCTCAGACCTTACTCCTGGCTCTGTTGTCAGGGATCATTTCAGGTGATGCTGGGGGACCATATGCAGTGCTGGTGATTGAACTGAGGTCTACCACATGCAAGACAAGTGCCTTAACCCCTGTGCTATCTCTTTATCCCTGGTACCATAACATTTTGAAGTTATAAAGTATTGTTTGTTGCTCTAAGAGAAATGTTTGTTTCACTGGATTGTTTAAGATGGGAAGATCCAAATGCATTTATAGTCTGAGAGAAAGGAGGGTGGGAAAAAAAGAGATAGAGATCTGAAAGAATCATTTTGTCACAGCAAATTCCGATGAGGGAGAGCAGGATCCAGGGTGGTGGGGTGAAGAGATCACAGTAGGAAGGAAGAACTGAGGAAGGGAGAAAGACATCTGTTCCTTACAAAGAAGACAAAGAGCCATGAAATTTTTATGTGTAAAAAGCAGTAAGATGCAGGAGGGAATTGAGAATTGTCCCAGAAAGGGTTGGCGGGGAGGGGGGTGGGAATGGGGATGGGAGAAAGTGTAAGGGCAGTGGGAGGGGTGGGGGAGAGAGAGAGAGAGAGAGAGAGAGAGAGAGAGAGAGAGAGAGAGAGAGAGAGAGAGAGAGAGAGATAAGGTGGGGGAGGACGTTGAAGAAGAGGAGGAAGAAAAGATTGGAGGAGGTTGTTGTTTGTGCTGGTGACATGGAAGGCAAAAGTGCCATGTGAGTTTTTTTGCTGTGGGGAAGGTCACAGATCCTTCAATGAGGAAAGAATGACCATCTAGTGCAGAGCAGCAGACTTCGATATTTTCTCAACCGTGGATAGTGCCGTCCTGTGCCCTGGTCCAGACAAATTAGTTACAACAGGATGGTTAGAGCAAGGTGATATAGACCTGTGGTTTTCAACCTTTCTATACCAGTGCCTGGTCCAGTGGACACAGGTGAATGTCAGAGGTCATGAATTTACAGCCAGTCCATTCTGCATGAAAATGCATTACTTCCATTCTGAAAGATATTTTTCTAGTAACTAAAATTCCCTGAAAGTTTGGGGAAGTTCATCTGTGTGAAAGAGAGAAGAACATTGTCCTACTTCACCTGCCCGGGTTGGCCATGGGGGAAGTGAAACTTGAAATTGGGTCTAAGGAATTAGAATATCTGAACACAAATGCACATGCACAAATGTGTGCACGTGCGCGAGCGCGCACACACACATACACACACACACAAACACACACATATTTGACCAGTAAATTTCCAGTTTCATTAGACCAGGATCTAGACCAGAGTTTCTTAACCTTTTCCAGACCCTGCCCCCCTTCCATCCCTGTATCCTCCCCTTCCTTTGCCGCTTACCACATTGTGATCCCGCACTGATGCAACTTTGACTTTAGACTAGTCTGGGGGCCCCAGGGGGCCCTGTGGTCTCCGGTTGAGAAAATTGGCTCTAGCGTGATGAGATGGATACACAGGAGCAGTTGCAGCCAGTCCTAACAAGGAGCTCCTGGATCTTGAATTCCTGTAACCAGCAACAGAGATAGGTGCGTGTTGGCCAAAGGAAAGGTCGACCAAGACTTCTCAGAACGGAGGGCTCTGAAGACAAAACTGGATGAATGGAAAGGAGCCATCCCTGCTAATGGGATGGATAACAACTCCTTCAAGTGGGAGCCTAAGTCCATTATATCTCAGAAAGGGCACTTTGAGGCAACAACCAAGTTTACAGATTCTCACCATAGTTTCCTACAGATGCTACTTTGTGACCTCCCCAAATATTTATGCTTTGGCCAAGAGTCCATTTACACAGTTCCAAGACACAGAGGAAGCCTAGTTCTGTCTAGAACACAGTGAGATGATGAGGGAGTGAAAAAGCAGCAACTGGGAGAGGTGGCAGGACTGTGGGAGGAATGGTAGCACTGTCACAAACTTGTAAGCATGTAACAGTCCAGTCTGAATTTTTACATAGTTGTGCTGATCAACCTAAAGGCAGCAAGGGACAAACAATACCCCATGCAAAATAGTCTTCAGGGCCTTCTGCATGAAGGCAAGTGGCCCCATGCAACTGTTCATTTGACAGCCAAGGAAACGAGGCAAGCCCAACTGTGGCAACAGCTGCAGAATCCTTTCTCAATGCCAGTGGAGTCTGTTCATCAGTAACCTTCCTTTAGACAGCTGCGATTTTACTTTTGTTCTGTTTGGTTGGTTGTATTTTGTTTTTGTGAGGCAAGATAGTTTTTATTGAAGCTTATTTAGATGTGAGGAGATGTGAGGAGAGAGAAAGAGAGAAGTAAGGAGCTCAAGGGAGAACACGGGCTACTTCAGAGTAGAAATAAGCAAGCAAAAATATCTAGAGCCAAGCAAGTGAGATACATGAAAGAGATAGCCTAGATAGCTTCTTTTTTCTTATTTAATTGAAATTAATTAATTTTAATTTTTATTAATTTATTTTAGTTGAAGGTTTGTTTTGTTTTATTGGGCCACATACCTGGCACTGCTCAGGAGCACCCCTTGGCTCTATGATTGCAGGTTCCTCCTGGTGGTGTTTGGGGACCCATATGCAGTATACCAAGGTCAGCTGCTGGCAAGACAAGTGGTTTAACCTATAATATTTCTCCAGCCTCCATTTTTTTGGTTTGTTTTTGGTTCCACTGCAAATGGCAAAAAAATCCTCCACAGGGTGTGATACATCATTCACAGAATTCCACTGTTGGTGCTATGGCAGGGCCACACATGCCTGGAAACACATGGAACATGCCAGAGCCTTCTTGGAGCTCACCTCTGGGCAGGCAGAATGGAGGCCAGCAGGACCCGGTGAAAGACTTACAAGCGTGTAGCAGTCCAGTTTGAATTTTAGCCTCTTTATGCTGATCAGCCTAAAGATGGCAAGGGACAAACAATACTCCTTGCATTGGAATTTATTTATCTATTTTTTGGAATAGTTTTCTATTTACTGAAAGGTTGTAAAAAGAGTACAAGAGATTCCCGTGTCCTTAGCCAGTTTCTTCTAGTATTAACATGTTACATTCCTGAGAACATTTGTCACAAGCAAGGAACTTATTTTGATACGTTCCTGTTAACTGTACTTTGTTTGGAATTGGCCAGTTTTCCCAGAATGCCCTCTTCACCCTCCAGACTGCCTCCACAGTCCACCACTGTCTCCCTGTCTCCCATCTCTGCAGATCTGTGACTTGTTTCACTAACTTCCTTTCTTTAA